ATCCCTCATAGCAGTCATAACATATTGAAAATGTAACCAGCCACTTCCCTCAAGCCACCTACTGTAAAAGTTCAAATGAAACTACTGACCCAGAAAAGTCATACTAAACATTTCAAAGAGATTGTAAATATCATTTTGTTTTTGTCTAAATTATGAAAACTTTTGTCATTCTTACATTTTATAATATTGTCATGGCAACTCCATAATGATGGCAGTAATAAGATTTAAACATTACCATACTTACTGTGATCTGGTAACCATGGCATATACGACCTAATTACAGAGGCTTCATTTGGCAGTGGGGTAAAGTGGTCTTTATAGGCAGGTGGTTTTATACAGAGGTTAAATTACTATGAAGGTAATTGTAATTCAGCGTCAGTGGTCTTTACACACAGGTATTTGTTATATTGAAGTTTATAGACAAGTCTTTATTATATACAAGTGATCTTGACAGGTATTTGGTAAATAGAGGTGGCTTTATAGACAGGTAATTGTCATATATAGTTGACCTTTATAGTCAGGTATTTCTATATAGTTGGCCTGTATAGACAGGTATTTGTCAAATATAGTTGGCCTGTATAGACAGGTATTTATCAAATATAGTTGACCTTTATAGACAGGTATTTGTTACACAGAGATGGCCTTTATGGACAGGTATTTATGATATAGAGGTGGTCTTTAGAAACAGGTATCTGTTATTTAGAGATGAACTTTTTAGACAGATATCAAATACAAAGGTTGACGTGAAGGCAAAAATTGATAAATTATTAAAAAAAAAAATCAAGTGATTGTGAAATAAAACATTTTGACTTATGTACAGAAACTCCAATGTTGTATTTGGGTTTGAAGTTCTATCCAATTCCAAAATGAATTATGAAAATTTTCTATAGGTCCTTATAAATACTCTATATATTCCTTTAGATATCTTCACTGTAGACATTACAGTGTCTCCATACTTTACACTCAAAGTCTTAAAGTCTCATGACCCACACACTACCTACCAGGGACTCAAAGTCTTACAGTCACCTGACCCACACACTACCTACCAGGGACTGAAAGTCTTAAAGTCACCTGACCCACACACTACCTACCAGGGACTGAAAGTCTTAAAGTCACCTGACCCACACACTACCTACCAGGGACTGAAAGTCTTAAAGTCACCTGACCCGCACACTACCTACCAGGGACTGAAAGTCTTAAAGTCACCTGACCCACACACTACCGACCAGGGACTGAAAGTCTTAAAGTCACCTGACCCACACACTACCGACCAGGGACTGAAAGTCTTAAAGTCACCTGACCCGCACACTACCTACCAGGGACTGAAAGTCTTAAAGTCACCTGACCCGCACACTACCTACCAGGGACTGAAAGTCTTAAAGTCACCTGACCCGCACACTACCTACCAGGGACTGAAAGTCTTAAAGTCACCTGACCCGCACACTACCTACCAGGGACTCAAAGTCTTACAGTCACCTAACTTGTACACTTCAAACCATGGGCTCAAAGTCGTATAATCTCCTAACCCCAGAATGTTATCAATACACTATCTCACTCAAAAAAAAAAAAATATTCCACATGAAATTGGTGCCTCTCCCCCTTCCCAACTTTTCCTGTGCCCTCCCCCTCCCCCTCACACATGTATTCCACACACACATTAAAATGATCCCCCTCCCTTTATCGGAATCTGATCACCTCACTCCTGTAATAAAAACCTCCCCACCATAAGAATCTTATCAATTCCTCTTTTTCTTCACAATGTTTTGTGGGTACTTAAGTTGTATGCATGTTTAGAAATCTCTGATAGCTTTGCCTCTGTTTCCAAACATTCTAGAGAGGTGAATTCTGCAGCTGCAGTCATCTCAGGATTGTGTACTTCATGTAAAACAGAAACTGTTCACAAACAGAGAATCAGAATTATTTGATAAATATGTGAGAAATTCTTTACCGGAATATACCACTGATGTTTATCATGATAATAAAATATATTATGTTTGTCAAGCCATTGCCTGTAATAAAGAAGAAATGTATCATTGTAGATTTTTCTTCTAGAATCCACGACCAGTTTACATGTCGCTGTTGTACTTTTCCTGCAACCTGCATTGGCCTGAAGGGTGGGGGATAGGGGGATGATGGGTGTGGTGGAGGGGGATGGGGGGGAATGATGGGTGTGGAGGAAAGGGATGGGAAGGGGGATGACGGGTGTAGAGGATGTGTATGGGGGTATGACAAGTGTGGAGGAGGGGGATGGGGGATGACGGTGTAGAGGAGGGGTATGGGAGTTGACGGGTATTGAGGAAGGGGATTGGGGGGGATGATGGGTGTGGAGGACGGGAATGGGGGTAGGACGGGGTGGGGGGATGACAGGTGTGGAGGAGGGGTATGGGAGTTGACGGGTATTGAGGAAGGGGATTGGGGGGATGATGGGTGTGGAGGACGGGAATGGGGGGATGATGGGTGTGGAGGAGGGGTTGGGGGGATGACAGGTGTGGAGGAAGGAGATGGAGGATGACGGGTGCAGAGAAGGGGGATGGGGGGGGGTTGATAGGTGTGGAGGAGGGGGATGGGGGGATACCGGGTGTGGAGGAGGGGTATGAGGGCGGATAATGGGTGTGGAGGAGGGGGATAAGAGCGAATGACAGCTGTGGAGGAGAGGAATGCAATCTACAGATTCAGACTCAAAGTCAGAGGAGGGCTAATATTGGAAGCCAGTGAAAAAGCATCTTCAGTTATTACAAGACATTGAGACACAGACTTATTGCCAGAGATAAATATTGCTTCATCAATATAATCGTACAATTTGTGGTGCCATTGTTTTGGTATATTTTTAACGATATGACTCTGAATCAACACAGATATTAGTTGTTAGGATAAACTTATGCTATTTGTAAAAAATAAAATTTGCATATAATAAACATATAGTATTTTATAAATATAGAATTGTATGCGTTATTTACATCAATATTTCTGTGGCCATTTTGATTTCGATAGCTGCAATCAGAAATATATATCAGACATTAAACATTGAGTCTGTATTAGTGATTTATAGTATATGTCTCTCTGTTCTATTTTTTATTTGACAATATATTAACTTGTAGCATTTAATTTACATTATTCTTTCTGCAGTACCAAAAGACATTCCTAAGTCTTACATTCTAGTTTTGAAATTTAAGAAATGGTTGTGTAACTGAATCTAAATGCTTGAGAACAGTTAAGCCAATTTGATGCTGCCCAGATTACTTAATTCAAGGGGCCCCTTACTGATCTCAGTATGGTCATTATTGAAACGGATAAATCTGTTTCAAATTGTTTCTTTTTCTCATAATTTCATGAAAGGGGTTTTGAATTGTGGTACTAGGTTTGTAATTTGACCTCAGTGTGTTTGACAGTAAGATTGCAGGCTGCTGTAGTTCAGAGTAGGGGCTGGTGTGTTTACGAGATGAAGCTGTGAGGTTACGAGGGCTGAACTGTGAGGCGGAGGGCAGTAATTTAGTCAGCTGTCTAATTTACATTAAGAAACTAGCTGTCACACACCGACTCAAACACATGCCTGTCACATCAATGTTTTCTTTGAATTTCAAATCAAGAAGATTCATTGCACAACTGAAAATGAATTTCTTTTATCTGACAATGTTGACTGACAATTAAAGCTCATCGAGATGCCCTTGTTACTTGATTTTAAAGAGATCATTTCTACCAGTCGCCTAACAGGGGTTGATGTGAAAGTTTTATAACAATAGAAAAAACATTCGAAACAATATCATATTCAATTTATTGAAGAAAAATCATCCGTTACCGGATTTTAAAGGAATACCGCCTGAAAATAATTATCAACCATAAAGCAAATGGCTATAAGTTCTGTAATGCTGAACAGTATCACTTGCTGAGAGAACAATGCAAAATTCTTTTAAGATTGAGGATGATAGTTTAGTTTTTAATGTTATTGTGAAATAAAAATGACTTTTGATGTGTTTTAAATCGTGTTTATCACATTTCTAAAAACAGTACTAAACTTCACTTTGATTATTCTAACTTCAAAAGTATTAACTCTAAATTTGTAAAATCTAATAAAATTTTGATCAAAAGGAATGACATATCGAGTGATGTTTTAGAGAATTGTCTGGGCCATGTTTATATTGCAGTATAAGGTCTACTGGACAGTATCAGGTGATAATGTCTGAATATGATGGTTATTCTGGCCTGGGATTATTTCTTAATTTGTTAAACATACACCAGAGTGTGTCCCATAATTTGACTTCCAATTTACCTAAACTTTTCCATATGCCAGGTACATGGAAATATTCTTAAAACAGTATGGAAGTATTTTGTCTTTTTTCAAGTTAAAACTTCACAGCATGGTTATAATTAATTAGTTGAAGTCATTTTCATAACAACATTTATTTACCATCGCCTGTATTGAATTTACCTGTTGAATTTACTTATTGAATTTACCTGTTGAATTTACCTATTGAATTTACCTGTTGAATTTACCTATGTAAATATTTTAAGAGTATGAACCAATGTAGTGTGACCAATTGTGATGTCATCAAATGACAACAAAAATATAATGTTTACGTAGACAATAATTTTAAATTTAGAAATGACACAGAAATATGTGTTTTACAGAATATTTACAGAAAATCTAGATCATGTTTTTAAAAAGATTTTTATTTCATTTAATGATCCTAAATTACCCTTTTATATAACATCTACAGAACATGAAACTGAAAGGGCCAAGATTATTTTTATTCTAACTTACAAGACGGGCTTAAATGAATTATATTTAAGCACTTGCTTTGTTTAAAATGGCAATATAATTACAGGTACATGCGCTTTTGTCACAAGATGTGATGCATTATTTAGATGTTTTGTTTTTAGAATTTGTTTTAAGGGAGATAACTCCTCCTGATGGAATTTGATTATGTTAAGCTAATAATTAATTCCTACTTTTGCAAATTTTTCCATATTGTAAATAACAGGTGTAAAAATCTCTGTTACAGGGTATGGTTGTAAATGGGTTTGTAAATGTCGTGATCTCAAGTGTGGAACGCCGATACGATCTAAGCAGCACTGAGTCAGGGGCCATCGCAAGTTGTTATGATATTGCGTCGGTCTTGTGTTTGATTCCAGTCAGTTACTTTGGTGGACTTGGCTGTAAGCCTCGATACCTCGGGATTGGAGTGTTTGTGATGGGGCTTGGATCTTTAATGTTCTCTCTACCACAGTTTACCTCTGGACCCTATGTAGCGGGAGGCCCTGAGGGACCGTCCTTGTGTGGCGGGCACACCAACACGTCTCTGGAGAACTGTATGTCCAATGCAGGTCCCCAGGGACTCTCATCCTACAAGTACATCTTTTACTTGGGACAGTTGATGCATGGCGCTGGTGCAGCTCCTCTGTACACCCTAGGCACGACTTACTTGGACGACAATTTGCCTGTTGCTTCATCCTCTATGCATCAAGGTAGGTTTCCATTTTGATCAAATTACATGAACTATAAATATTATATCAAATGAAAAATGGAAGTAAAGAAAAGATATCCTATGGACATTCATGGTGAATTACCAGTTCCACTCTTGGTTTCTGTTTGTCTATTTGTTCGTTGTCTGTATGTCATATACAGTCAAACCTTGTTATCTTGAACCCGTATAACTCAAAGACCTCGTTGAATTCAAAGCATGTCGTTGGTTTCTGCCTAACTTTACACAAAACCCTCGACTCACTCAAATTGACTACTCACTTATCTCAATATTTTCTCATGGTTTCCCTACACCCCTGGACTTGAGATATTGAGGTTTCTTTGTACCTTTACATATTTTTACTTGTCTTACAAGACTGTTTAGAGATTTTATTTTTGTCCGTGTTATAGGGTTGTTCTACGGCTGTGCTATTTTGGGTCCTGCGGTTGGATATCTAGCTGGAGGAGCTTTCCTCGACTTACACGTGGACATCGACAAGGGGTCAAACCTCAGGTATTTTTCTCCCAGATTGATTTTACTGTCTGTCCAACACTGGCCGTAACATTATACTTGTGATGTAAATCTTCTGATAACTCCATCATATAGTCGTGGTTCACTAATTCTGGTGTGTTCTACCGTTGGTTGGTTGGTCCATTTTTTCCGACTCCTCCTTTTCCCAGGCATCATCTCACTGATGAAAGTCAGTCTTCTGGCGAGGTAAGGAGGCAACCTGCACCCCCTTCAGAGAGGTGCAACCATCTGCTGCAGTGTGTGATTGATTATGCTAGTTTTAGAAGATGGTTTCAGGGCTAATAATGTCATAGCCTAATTCTAGAAGGATTAGGGGCCTACATAGATTTGGTTTGTGTAAGGGTAATTTTGAAGTGCGTCAGATGCCTTAAAAAAATTGTATAGCCTGACACTATCACTAATCCCTGGCCAGGAATTATCGTCGTCGTCACAGTGTGTTTTACACTACAGACACTCTGTATAAGCCCAGATTTATTTTTCCCCCACTAGGAACAGTTAGGGACAGGAGTGTAGGTTTGTGTAAGAGTTAAAGAAAACTGATACTTGGGGCACACAGGGGTTACCAAGGTGAGGCAGCATGTCATGTACCAAAAATAGGTCACTTTGGACTTAATTTTGACCTTCAGTGACAATTTTTATAATATACAGATACAAAGTTGAAAATGGCATAAATTTCACAAAAATCAACGAACCAAAAAATCGCCTATTGTGGTATATAGGCGTCATCTTCTCCGTGTGTCCGTCCGTGTGTCCATTGGTATGTCCATTTCTTGTGAACACAACTCCTCCTAAACTAATCATCAGATTTTCACGAAACTTGCTCAATGTTACTACTACAATGGGTAGATGTGCATGAAGGGGCGACATCATTTTTAGCTTATGTATACAGACATGTTAAAAGTGATAATTAAAAGGACCAATCTTGATCTTTATATTATGTGTCGGCATATATTTTGTCCACAGCACTCTTGTTGATCATGTGTCAATGATCTCCTGCACTGCTTGTCACTTAGAGAAGGGATACATCTTACATTGCACATAGATTCACTTGCTATATATTTGTCTGTCAGGTAAGGTGAATATTACTGAATGTGTTTATACGTGACACTGCTGTAGAATACATGGCATCACAATGTCAAGTTTATAATGCAGTAACATTGACCAATTGCATACATATACATCTAACACATGTATTTTCAATCATATGGAGGGTATGCCAAATATTCACTGCCCAGACTTAGTTTTTCCACAAATTTATCACCCATGCATTCTTGCCATATATATTCAAATTAATTGGGGACTGTAATTTGCTGTGGTTTTGTGTATTTTTCATTCTGTAGTTCGTGTTTATGCACTCAACAATCACACTATACTTTTTACATAGTTCTGGTATATCGTCTACAGTCACTGATGCATCAATGTCTTACTTAAAATCAGAATAATTTCTTTCCCTGGACAAGTGTATCCAATCTTTCAGCAGTGTGAAGTAAATAGAATCTTTCACACTTTGGAGGTTAGATGGGGATCTTAGGCTGAGGGGGGAGATGATTAAGTTGGCAAACATGAGACTTGCCAAATGCTTGTAACTGAATCATTTTTTATGAAGGTTGAGATCCCCATATCTGCTAACAAAGGGGGTGTGTCATTGTTTTTTCCAACCCTGCTGATCTTATTAAGTAATGTGTTCATTCCTTGCTATGTTGGTTGTCTCCCTTGTGATAGAACTGTCCCCTCTGTTACAGCATCACCCCTCAGGTCCTCGCTATGTTGGTGCTTGGTGGGTTGTCTCCCTTATGATATAATTGTCCCCTCTGTTACAGTCAAGCTCCCTCAGGTCCTCGCTATGTTGGTGCTTGGTTGGTTGTCTCCCTTGTGATATAATTGTCCCCTCTGTTACAGTCAAACTCCCTCAGGTCCTCGCTATGTTGATGCCTGGTGGGTTGTCTCCCTTGTGATATAATTGTCCCCTCTGTTACAGTCAAGCTCCCTCAGGTCCTCGCTATGTTGGTGCCTGGTGGGTTGTCTCCCTTGTGATATAATTGTCCCCTCTGTTACAGTCAAGCTCCCTCAGGTCCTCGCTATGTTGGTGCCTGGTGGGTTGTCTCCCTTGTGATATAATTGTCCCCTCTGTTACAGCATCACCCCTTAGGTCCTCACTATGTTGATGTGTGGTGGGTTGTCTCCCTTGTGATATAATTGTCCCCTCTGTTACAGCCTCACCCCTCAGGTCCTCGCAATGTTGATGTGTGGTGGGTTGTCTCCCTTGTGATATAATTGTCCCCTCTGTGACAGTCTAGCTCCCTCATGTCCTCGCTATGTTTGTGTGTGGTGGGTTGTCTCCCTTGTGATATAATTGTCCCCTCTGTTACAGGCTAGCTCCTTCAGGTCCTCGCTATGTTGTTGTGTGGTGGGTGGGTTGTCTCAATTGTGATATAATTGTCCCCTCTGTTACAGTCAAGCTCCCTCAGGTCCTCGCTATGTTGGTGCTTGGTGGGTTGTCTCTCTTGTGATATAATTGTCCCCTCTGTTACAGTCAAGCTCCCTCAGGTCCTCGCTATGTTGATGTGTGGTGGGTTGTCTCCCTTGTGAAATAATTGTCCCCTCTGTTACAGTCTAGCTCCCTCAGGTCCTCGCTATGTTGGTGCCTGGTGGGTTGGTTTCCTCGTCAGTGCTGCCCTGGCATTTATTGTGGCTGTTCCTCTGTGTGGTTTCCCCAGCAATCTTCCAGGTGAGCAACTTATCATTCTATTGTTAAATTTATGTATCATATATTGGAAGATTCAATTTTAACATGCATGTTGTGATTTTAAAGAGAGCTGACACTGTCACCTGTGTCTCCCCTATCCTATCCTCTTATGTCACTGCCTGTCCTGAATGTTAAATTATCACTTTAATAGCCTCATTTCATCTCTAAATCAAATTTATGCAAAGATCAAGTTTTTAAAATACTTTGAATAGTTGAAGTTTCAGAGTTCAAAGGTCAGTCAGTCTTACTAATTACAGAAGTGTATAAAAAATTGTATTGGAATGAAGCTGATAAACATTGGAGCAGAGACATTGATGATAACTAAATACCACAGATTATCTCAAGCATGTAACTTCCTTTCTAATGATGTATGATTGATGTAAATATCAACCAAAAATGTGTTTTAGTAGAATATAGGATGAAGAAAAAGAGAATTTGTATGGCAGTAATTCTAGATAGCATGCTGGTTTTATTGTGTAATTTAAAAAAAATTGTCAGGAAAAACTCATGTTTGTACAGGAAGATATTTGAAACTTTGCAGAATTATCGTTCAGCTGTGTAGTTTTATAATTTGATTCTGCATTCACTTTTCTTGCCTATCAGACCTTTTTTTTTACATCAAGAAATATCATGAGCTAAATTACACACCATCATCACCATTTGATGATTTCTGATTGTGTTTTCAGGATCCTGGCGATTCAGGGCCCAACAAGGGAAGGAAGTATACCAAACAAAACAGACAGCCTCGGAGCCTGAGTATGAGCCAGAGAAGAAGAAATTAATGGTGACAAGGATTCTCATGTCTGTCAGGGTCCTCTTGTTAAATCCTACTTTTATGTTCTTGAATTTGGCAGCAGCATGTGAAGGTAAATACACCACAATTTGTCCTTGATTTTGTATAAAGGGTTAGATTTTACTTATCTTACAAAATATTTACTTACAAATCTCACATGATTATAAAATGTCACACCTGTCATACAAATTTTACAAAAATTTAGACCTGAGCTAGAGGTACTTTAAAATACAGATGACAACAATTATGAATACTCACGTCATTTGTTCAAATATAAAACTCTCTTCATCAGGAAATGTTTGAAATATTTGAATTTCACATTGAAGTTTTTATGACGAACAAATGTAAAGTAATTTAACATTGTTTTCAATATTTTTTTTTATCTCATTTTCTGTTTCAATTAAATCTCAAAAAGTGAAAATCTACATGTAAGTTTTGAATTTCCACTTGGTCTGTTATATGTCTTAATGTTTTGTGTTTAAGGAAATGTTCTGGCAGGATTTGCTACCTTCACACCAAAGTTTATTCAGGAACAGTTCAGCATTCCATCATCCAAGGCAGCCATGTTTGTTGGTGAGTTAACTTTGTAAATCTGTCTCCTCCTCCTCCTCCTCCTCCTCCCCTCCTCCCCTCCTTGTCCCCCTCCTCCTCCTCTCCTCCTTCTCTTCCTCCTCTCCTCCTCCTCCTCCTCCTCTTCCTCCTCTCCTCCTCCTCCTCCTCCTCCTCCTCCTCCTTCCTCAATATTATGGTAATATCAAGCCCAGTTTGTTGGGATCAAAAGAGAAATCCTTTAATTGTGTTCTGTGAGCATTTTTGTATGATCTTATAGTGACAAAACCCCATGTATGTTAATAAGCCCACCCAAATATATTGCAGTACAGTTAAATCACAATCCAGTGGTATTGTTTAATCCATTGATAGATTGTCTGGTTTTATTGAAGGATAAATACTGGGGTTGAATCTATCATGATAAATTAATGAATGATTTGTAACAACCTGTAGGGTTTGCTGCCATTCCGGCTGGAGGTGGAGGAACATTCCTGGGAGGTTACCTAGTCAAACGGTACAAACTTAGGATGAAAGGAATCATTCGTCTGTGTCTTGGTCTCACACTACCATCACTAATCTTGGCTCTTTGTTTTATCATCCACTGTCCTAACCAAGCATTTACAGGAGTCAATGTTCCCTACAGGGAAACACAGAAATGTTCCCTACAGGGAAACACAGAACAGGTAAGTTACCTCACAGGAGTCAATGTTCCCTACAGGGAAACACAGAACAGGTAAGTTACCTACCTACAGGAGTCAATGTTCCCTACAGGGAAACACAGAACAGGTAAGTTACCTCACAGGAGTCAATGTTCCCTACAGGGAAACACAGAACAGGTAAGTTACCTACCTCACAGGAGTCAATGTTCCCTACAGGGAAACACAGAACAGGTAAGTTACCTACCTCACAGGAGTCAATGTTCCCTACAGGGAAACACAGAACAGGTAAGTTACCTCACAGGAGTCAATGTTCCCTACAGGGAAACACAGAACAGGTAAGTTACCTCACTACCTACAGGGAAACACAGTAAGTTACCTACCTCAATGTTCCCTACAGGGAAACACAGAACAGGTAAGTTACCTACCTCACAGGAGTCAATGTTCCCTACAGGGAAACACAGAACAGGTAAGTTACCTACCTCACAGGAGTCAATGTTCCCTACAGGGAAACACAGAACAGGTAAGCTACCTCACAGGAGTCAATGTTCCCTACAGGGAAACACAGAACAGGTAAGTTACCTCACAGGAGTCAATGTTCCCTACAGGGAAACACAGAACAGGTAAGTTACCTCACAGGAGTCAATGTTCCCTACAGGGAAACACAGAACAGGTAAGTTACCTCACAGGAGTCAATGTTCCCTACAGGGAAACACAGAACAGGTAAGTTACCTACCTCACAGGAGTCAATGTTCCCTACAGGGAAACACAGAACAGGTAAGTTACCTCACAGGAGTCAATGTTCCCTACAGGGAAACACAGAACTGGTAAGTTACCTATGGCTTGCCAAGACTCTCAAAATAAAAAAGTTTTAAGACACATTTCAAAAAATCTCACATAAAATGAAAACATATTTAAGATTCTATCTATGTATATACATTGCTTTGGTTAGCAAAGATGGAGTGAACATAAATATAGAGGAAACCAGAATATTTCAGAATTTTAAAAAAAAATCTGATTGTGAGAGTGGCCATGGTTTAGCTGTACAGATGTAATGAGTTTGACTGGACCTTGGCTTAGTAATAATGATTGATTTTTGTTTGACAGGACCAGTGTTATCACAACAATTGACACCTGTCATCAGCCATGTGACTGTTCACATGATAACAAGTATCACCCTGTTTGTGGCAGTGATGGCAGTATGTACTTTTCCCCATGTTACGCTGGCTGTACAGGCACTACGGGAGATGTCAGTGCTCGGGTAACTATCATATATATATTAATATAAGTATTAAAATAGGAATACATTTATCTGTCGGTATGGCTTTCTGTCCTTATAAAGGAAGCATCAGTCAACAGATATAAGTTTAATGATGTCACTTAAAAATTTAATTAAAACATGAAAATTGAGAAATTATCTCCCTTGTGTCACATGACTTTCTGATATTGATTGTTGAACCAATCTGTTAAAACTTTAAGTCCTACAAGGTATACCTTTTGTTGTTAATAGTAAAATGCTTGCTCTGAAATCCTTCTGATAAACTAGGATTTTCAATGGTGGATCCACACTCTGAAACAGTAGTCGGTTATAGGTATATTGATAGTTATTCTGATATGTTCATTTCACAGAAACTCCAGTTGTCTGTTCCCCTGAGTCATATGACGGCCATTTTGATGAACTTGTTTCCTGTTACATTAATCAGTTTTAACATCAATTTTGTCAAGGATGGAACACATCCATCAAGCTATCAATTCAACAGTTATAACTGTATCAAATCCTCTGATCTTTAAACAGTGTATTTACCTATACCTGTGTTATCATTAACACTGTCCTCTGTCATTTTCAGGGTGAGATTCTCTTTGATATAATTGACCAAGATTTATGTGAAAGGGTGTATATTAAACAGAGGACACTTCCAGAACACATTGTCTTACCTCCATTGTGGAGGACTTTGTGAAATCTTTCCTTGGTTCATATTTATGTTCCCCAAAGGGAGAGCATATAGCCACTGCTTTGTTTGTCCATCCATCTGTCCATCATGAATTTGTCCAGAGCATATCACAAAACCATATGAGGAATAAAGATAAAACTTCCTAGGTAGATAGATCTCAATAAAGTGCACTGGAAGCATCACTCTATTACGCATAATTGAGGAGATATTGAAACTGGGTGTACACATTTGTCGTACTAAGAGAATGTGTAGTATACCAAATTTAGGGCCTGCAGCATCTTCATTATAGAGTTATTGCCCTTTGATTAAATTTTGTGTCCAGTAAAGTCATGGAGCATTCATCTGTTTCATTGATACTCTTGTTTACCCTTGTTTTGGTTTAGAGTTAAGAGTTACATTTTATTTTGTTGTTTAGGTGTACCACAACTGTAGCTGTGTTAACCCCACCTCCCAGGACAGTCAGCAGGCAGTAGATGGAAAGTGTGACAGTACCTGTAAACTCCTCCCCATCTTCATGCCCATATTTGGATTACTGATGCTGCTTACATTCACATCCAGTATGCCGGCTCTAGCAGCTACTCTGAGGTAAGTTGTCAAGGATACTGTTCTTGTCAAGGTCGTTGTTTTAATTAAGTTATGAGCAGTTTGGTTTTTTATATTTTCAGTTCAGTACACAAAGTTAAAATAGTTGCTAGAATTGATCTCAAGATATTTCTCATGGTAACAACAGTTATTATTAGGGAAGTGGGAAGGTTACCATGGATACCGTAGTTATTGTTAGGGAATCAGGAGGGTTTCCTTAAATACAGTCATGATTATAAGGGAAGTGGAAAGGGTATCATGGATACAGCAGTTATTGTTGTGGAAACAGTAAGATTGCCCTGAATACAGTAATTATTGTTAGTAAAACAGGAAGGTTGCCATGGATACAACAAAAACTGATAGGGAAACAGGATGCTTTCCATGGATACAACAGTTAGGAAAACATGAAGATTGTCATTCTAAAGTTTTTTTTGTCAGTGATAATGGAAGGATGCCATGGAAACGATAGTTGTTATTCTGAAATATTATGGATACTGATGTATTGTTGAGCTCTGGGTTATCAGTAAATAAGATCCGAGTCACAATTTTGTTATTGTAACAGATGTGTACCACCAGAACAGAGGTCTTTTGCCCTGGGAATACAGTGGATCATTGCCAGATGTCTAGGTAAGTCGTTTGTTTATTAAAGTAAAGTTTTCTTGTCCAGACAATCAACGACTTTTCCTAAACATTTGTTAGATCATACTGTGAACAAGTCTAAAATTGGTGATATTTACTCTTTGTTACTATCTATAAACTCAGTCAGGTTAATATACCTGTGATGATGTCATTAGTTGTAATTCATCATCATTCTATCAGATACAGTATTTTTCATTATAATTACATCCATAACCAACTTAACAACAAGCTTAATGGTAAAAGCAATTAAACATTGTATTTGATATAATGATAAGAGATTTCATGTGAACCTCTGAGAAAAACGGGAGTGACCTTGAATTAATTTCAGCTAATACATAATGTATACATATATACTATTCTCATTTGTCTTGTTTTACACTTATGTCTGAAAATAAGCCCACCCATATCTAATTCATTTCAGCAGAAATGCTAATGAGTATCATTTTGTTGTTCTGCAGTAGTTCTTACTCTCACTTCAAGTTAGAAACTGATTGTTACCTTCCCATTTTATCAGGCTTATAGCTGGAAACTTGTAATATCTGTAGGTTTACACAATTTATACAAATATTCCTTTCACACAGGTTCCATCCCAGGACCAATTCTATTTGGGAAATTGATTGACATGTCATGTGTGTTATGGCAGAAGGACTGTGGACAGGATGGTTCCTGTTTTTTCTACGACAATCAGAATATGAGTAACAATCTTTTAACAGTTGGACTTGTTGGAAAGTTTTTTTCCACTTTATTCTTTCTGTTGGCTCTTGTCCTGTACAGAAGTCCACTGCAAGAAGGCAGTACTGATTCCTCCGACAAGGACAGTGGTGCCACCTCTGTGTTCTCAAAGGAACTACCGAAGGAGACTATTCAACATGGCCACCATCAAAGGGAGACAACTCATAGTATAGACACATTGACATCATCTCTACATGATGATTTACCTAACAACAATGACATCATGTTTATTGATGATGTCATCGATGATGACACAAAGTTAACAACACAGGATATGCTGTTCTTGACATGAATCTCATTTATTTATTTACTTTATTATAAGTTTTAGACTGAATTTGATAAAAAAAAAAAAGGAAATTAGATATTTATGTTACAAGAAAGATTTGTGAAAATTACAAATCAGACACATAGATTATTATATTTGATGTTGTATACAATTTTCAGTCAGTCATTTGTATCTATATTACTCATCACAAGCAGGCACTTAAAGTACCTGCATGAATTTTCAGGCAGCCATTTGCATTTACTGTTACTTATCAAAAGCAAGCACTTAGAGTACCTGTAGTGAATGCTGCTGTGTTTGATGATGTTTCTAACATTATAATGTGACATAATTAGTTTAAATGAACCAAGAAGTCCAGCTGTGTTACAGTCATTGAATCATCAGTTCTGGTTTACTCCTATGACACAATATAGAAATAATTTTTGTGAGTTAAGAATAATTTGCTATATTTTTTAAATATAAATGACATTGATCACAAAAATCTTACACCTCCTGGTTTGTGTCCATCACCAAGAAATCCACTTTACTCTATTTGGTTTGGATGGCATGTGGCACACCTTCCACATAGTATTCCTGGAGGTAGCCACCAACCTAATATTACCTTAGCTGTGTATGGGACAGTAAACCTTATGAACACATCCTAATATAACACACAAGGTAGCTGATCAAATAATGAATGAAACTGAACAAATACAGTCAATTATTTTGTGTTTGCAAGAAGAATATTTTTTATCTGCCTGAGAATTTAGGATAGTATCATGACTGTTGTTCTGCCACAGAGACAGAGGCGAGATTTTTGAAGATCTTATCATGTTACACGTGTTTGTTTGTTGTTATTTTGAAGCTTTAATGGTTGAGGTGTCAGAATTTTATATTTTGTTTGGTGCATTTTTCTGGAATAAATGGCATAATCAGTACATTGTTGTCCAGAATGAATTCCTTGTCAGTAACCATGGTGTCCTGGTGTTGTCATCAGTGTAAGGACCGTGGGTAGCCAATCATCAGGACGGTGGTTAGCCAATCATCAGGACGGTGGTTAGCCAATCATCAGGACGGTGGTTAGCCAATCATCAGGACGGTGGTTAGCCAATCATCAGGACCGTGGGTAGCCAATCATCAGGACTGTGGGTTACCGTTCATCAGGACCGTGGGTTACCGTGCATCAGGACCGTGGGTTACCGTTCATCAGGACCGTGGGTAGCCAATCATCAGGACCGTGGGTTACCGTTCATCAGGATCGTGGGTTACCGTTCATCAGGACCGTGGGTTACCGTTCATCAGGACCGTGGGTTACCGTTCATCAGGACCTTGGGTTACCGTTCATCAGGACCTTGGGTTACCGTTCATCAGGATCATGGGTTACTGACAATGGAATGAATCGTAATATTGATTCTATGTTGCTGTGTGATTGTGGTTCATCAGAACAGTGGGTTACCTTTCAGGATTTTGGGTTACCATTCATCATGATTTGAAATCACTGTGGATTACCAATATCATATGTTACCGTTCATCAGGACCATCTTCAAAGCAGTGTATATGTGTTCACTCTGACAAAACATTCCATCTTATCAATTTGTCAAGTTTAATCGTAATTACTGGCATGATCAGAAAACTATGTTTTATTCATTGAGCCTGTGTGTGATGTTGCTGTGTGATTGTGGTGTAAATAGAACAGTTTGTTATCTTTGATTTTTTTTTCACCCATCATGATTTGAAATCACTAGATTCCCAATATCATATGTTATTTCATTCACCATCTTCAAAGCAGTGTATATGTGTTTCACTCTGAGACAAAACATTCCATCTTATCAATTTGTCAAGTTTAATTCTATAATTAACTGGCATGATCAGAAAAATATGTTTTATTCATTGAGCCTGTGTTTACTGACAACAAGAGGGACTGAATAAATAAGTCGGAGAAAACAATTCTCAGATAACTGTACTGACATCTATAGAGAGATTAGACTTTGTTGGTCAATATGTCTTTACAGACTTGATGAAAAACTGAGCATTAAGGCAAGACAAGACAGGTGTCACTGTGTATCAATGTCAGATATCACAAGATCTCTGTAAAGTCAGGTGTCAGTAAAGACAGGTGTCACTGTGTATCAATGTCAGATATCACAAGATTTCTGTAAAGTCAGGTGTCAGTAAAGACAGGTGTCACTGTACATCAATGTCAGATATCACAGAATATCTGTAAAGTCAGGTGTCAGTAAAGACAGGTGTCACTGTTCATCAATGTCAGATATCACAGAATGTCTGTAAAGTCAGGTGTCAGTAAAGACAGGTGTCACTGTTCATCAATGTCAGATATCACAGAATGTCTGTAAAGTCAGGTGTCAGTAAAGACAGGTGTCACTGTTCATCAATGTCAGATATCACAGAATGTCTGTAAAGTCAGGTGTCAGTAAAGACAGGTGTCACTGTACATCAATGTCAGATATCACAGAATATCTGTCAGGTGTAAGGAAGACTGGTCACTCTGTAAAGGACCTAAACTATACAAATATGATGTGAAAATTCTGACGAAGAACGTAATGACTTACCTGGAGTTTGACAAAGTCACACTGCTTTCATTATTGACTGACTGGTCTGTAATCACATGTACTACCTATTTATTTTCTCAGTGACTTACAAGAAATACCTATTTATTTTCTCTATGACTTACAAGAAATACCTATTTATTTTCTCGATTACTGACAAGAAATACCTATTTATTTTCTCGATTACTGACAAGAAATACCTATTTATTTTCTCTATGACTTTTATTCTTTTTCTCAATGACTTACAAGAAATACCTATTTATTTTCTCAACAACTTGGCAGATCTGTACTTTATAGTTATTTTAACACTTAATTGTAAATGATATTTATATCTATTTATCATGTTTATTGTTTGAAGGATTTTTTCAAATGGATCAGTTGAGTAAAGTGTCTAATGATACTTTAACATATTAGGTTGAAATATATGCAGGAAATAGATAAGCTTGTTTGTAATTTAGCAAATTTGATATACAATTGATATATCTAGCAATGTCTACATTGTATGTAATTTGTAATGTATTGGTAATTTTGTAACATCAATGTAACTTACATATTTGTAATTTTGTGATGCTGATGTAATTCAAATTTTTGTGATTGTGATTTTGTAATATTACAACTTATTCAAATGTTTGTGTTTGTAGTTACTAAATGTTGGTGTACAATTTAACTTTGTAATGTTGGTGTACAATGTAACTTTGTAATGTTTGTGTACAATGTAACTTTGTAATGTTTGTGTACAATGTAACTTTGTGATGTTTGTGTACAATGTAACTTTGTTATGTTTGTGTACAATGTAACTTTGTAATGTTGGTGTACAATGTAACTTTGTAATGTTGGTGTACAATGTAACTTTGTAATGTTGATGTACAGTGTAACTTTGTAATGTTGATGTACAGTGTAACTTTGTAATGTTGGTGTACAGTGTAACTTTGTAATGTTGGTGTACAATGTAACTTTGTAAAGTCATGTATAATAATTGACGTATATGTTTTTGTAAATGTGTTTTTTTGATGATTATGAAATAGATATTTACACCATTTTTATCTGGTACTAAACCCATATCTGTTAATAAGCCCAGGTCACTGGGATTGTTTTAGAATGAATATGGTATGTCTTTGTGTGTAAATTTGTGATCAGTAGAGAATATGATGATATTTATGCTATTTGAAATTTAATAACAAATTAATGAAAACTGTTTCTCATTGTGCAATTTTCAATAAGATGTAAGTAAAAAAAAATAAAAAAAAAATATGAATTTTTGATTTTTTTTAAAGTAATGTTTCTTTGTTGCTTTGTAACATTTAATGAAACATGTTGTTCTTTGTGTGTTTTTGTAACAAGTTTTTGAAAAATATACATGTTTGTGCAATTTTATAACATTAAGTCACTGAGGCATGTTACTGTTTTGTATGATTTTGTACAGAAATCAAGAATAACTTGGTGCTAGCTCGATTGGATGCTCTTTCTGTAACACAGTTAGCCTTGTACTAAAAAACCACCATCATTTAACGGTGTTCTCTTATAAAAGGTGATCTCGGGATACCAAATCAATGTTAACATAAAATTCTAAGATTTGTTTCATCAGCCTCATATGTATGGACCATATATATCTTTCTTACAGAACCAATTTGCTTAGAATTATCTCCCCTGAATAGATAGATCAGGAGTAGTTTGATATGATCTGTAATGTGTTCATGCAGAAAATCCCATTCTAGATAATAATCATCGTTTATATCACTGTCCTGTTATAAACATGTTTCTGTATAGTAAATGTGAAGTGATGTTGGACCATACATGGGGAATTTTCACTCTCTTTTACCTGCCATATACTGATCACCTTTAAAACACTTCCCATATCATGATCAGTACAGTAATGCCAGGACAATGTAAAAGTTCATTGTTGTCTAAATACTCAGTATAAGTAAACATGTTTTGTTGACACATCAACCTGGATAAATTCAATATTGATTCAAATTTGTTGATCAATTTTTCACCAATTTGTATAAAGGTCTTTTTAGATATTTATTTTTTGTTGAATGTGAATGTGTTTTGACATTGTTGATTGTGGTGCAATATAAAGTGCTTCAGAACTGGTTGTATATATTTTCCAGGTAATTGTTGATGTAAACATTAGTGGTATTGTGGGGCCGTGATTTTCTGTAAATTACCAGTAAGCTGTCTGAATTTTTTTCTATCTTAGATCCTAAATGGGTTTTATGTACTTTTCAAAACATTTTTACCCCTCAGTGTTTTGTTTTAATTTCTGACCCTCAATTGGCTATTTGTATTTTTTTTAATTTCTGACCCTCAATTGGCTATTTGTATCTTTTTTTATTTCTGACCCTCAATTGACTGTTTGTATTTTTTTT